TTTTCGGTAACCTACACCTACTTTTAACCTTTTATCTTAATAAATTTATATATTTTAGTGTTTATCTTATGACATTCTTAGTCATTGACCTTAATAAATTTATAGATTTTAGCCCTTCATCTTATATTATGACATTTTTAACCTCTTACTTATATGAATTGAAAAAATAGTTCTCATTTAATATCAAATTATAACGTTTTGTTAGTTTTGTTAATTGATTGTTGGTTCTGTTAGCTGACTATTAACATCCGTTAACATTCGTTAGTATTTCGTTATAGAAAACATGAAATTTAAATTTTATTTTATTTATTAGTTTTGTTAACAAAATACTAATAAAATGCTAACAGAATACTAATAATCAACTAATAAAACTAATAAAATGTTATAATTTGATCTTAAATAAATGTTATTTTTTTCGGTTCATATAGATGAGAGGTTAAAAATATCATAATATAAGGTAATGGGTTAAAATTTATAAATTTATTAAGATAAAGAATTAAAAATATTATAATATAAAATAAAAAATTAAAATTTATAAATTTATTAAGGTAAAAAATAAAAAAAAAGTATATTTTAACTAATTTTTTTAATAATAAAAGAAAAAAGAAATCGTGTAGAGTAATTGAAAGTTTTAATCTACATAAAAAAATGGGCTTAATTCAAAAAATCATCTACTAACTTTCAGTTTAATTTCAATTTCATCTATTATCTTTGAATTGTTTCAATTTTATCTATTATCTTTCACATTTATTTCAATTTCATCTAGGTAGTTAAAGTTAACAGAATTCTAAAGAAAATCTTCTTAAACCTTAGTACTCTAACTATGTTTCTTTTAATCTTTTAGTTCTTAAATCTTTTAGTTCTTAAATTTATATTCACAGTAAAAATAGTTTTTATTCTTATTTTGCTAAATGTGTTTTTCAAAAAATTATTTTACAGAACAGACTGCTTTCAGTCCACCTTGTAAAATTATTTAAATACTCTTAATTCTATTTTTATATTATTTTTGTATGAACATTTAAATAATTTTATAAGACAGATTGTACACAATATGTCTTATAAAACAGACTTATTCTTAAAATTTTTTATTCTGAAGTTACTGAATTTCTTTGTTTGAATTACAATCTATCTCTATAAACTATTTTTTGATTCATCATATTTTATTAAGATTTAAGTGTCACATTTTTAAAACGTAAAAGACTGCTCTTTCTTCAAATCTAACGGCAATCTAACGTCTTCTTTTGTAATTTTGTACGGTAGACTAATTTAAAATATTTTTTAAAGTTTCTATATCATTTAGAAATTAAATTGAAATTAAATTAAAAGTCAGTAGATGATTTTTTGAATTAAGCCTAAAAAAATGAAAGAAACAAAGAGAAAAGGAATAATTAATAGTAGCGCAAATCCCAACGGCTTGAAAGCCGGGGGGGCAGAGTCAGTTTGAAATCCAGCACCAAATGCCTCCTTCCAAGCGTGCATCCCGCGAAGCCAAATGTACGGCTTCAACACCTGCATCTCACCCCCCCAAACCCTAAGATGCCACCACCACAACTAAGGTCACTCCTTCTCTCTCACCCCACCTCAACCCCAAACCCTAGACGACGGAAATGGCCAAGCACGCCGTTGGTTGGCCACACCCGAAGCGTTCGTTGCTGCTACTTCTTCTTCTGACGCTCTCCGCTTCCACCCTCATTCTCTTCTTTATCCGAACAGTGTTCGATCCCTGTGATCGACACGCCGCCCATATTAGCCCCGTTCGTAATGGGATTGAAGTTGCTGAGAAGCGAAACCTTTTGCCTCCCAACGTCAAACCGCCGCCGAGTCCGCTCAGCTTCATGAAGTCAAAGATTGTGCTTTTAGTTTCTCACGAGCTCTCCCTTTCTGGTACTTACTATACATAGCTAAGTTCTTTTGCAATTCAGCGTTTTGAACTGAATTGATTACTGATTTGGTCGTTGAATTTTAAATTTTTAATATACTGGAGCATCTTCTGGTTTCCTTAGTTTTATACAGAGTGGCTTGGAAGGGTTTTATGCTGTTTTCGTGTGTTCTATTATGGCAGCATCAGTAATCCCCCTCAGAATACTGTCTTTACTGAGGTGGTGTTATCTGCACTACCTGTGAATCTGTGTTGTCATGAAATTTTCCCCGTCAAAGAACAGTTCTTTTAAGTTCAAGAGGAGCTTCAATGAGTTCTAGCTGAATATTGACATGGATTCATTAAGTTATTACTTATGGAATAGTTCAGTTAATTTATTTAATTAATTAAAAGTCATAATAAGTGTATGCATTGTTAAAAGCCATGAATTGCTTCTTTATTGTAGCACTATTTTTATTTTTGATATCTGGAAATATATAGGAATCTAGGTGACTTGTATTTTCATATTGAATTTCATCATAAAACTGGGCGAAAGCAAGATATCAGAATCATAGCCTTTTAGCGTGAAGATGTTAAGCATTTATCCAGTTTCATTCATTTAGAAACAAATGAAAGGGAAAAGATGTAATCTTGAGAGTCTGAGCCACTGCAAAAGCATGCTTTTGCTGCTTGTCTAGCCATAATATAAATTTAATATGTTTTGAAATTTGGGAGACAGGACTTGTCTTCCAGGGAACTTGGTGGGAAACAAATCTTTATTTATGGAAGGGCTTATCCTTTTCATGTTGGAGACTATATTCATCTTGGGTTACACAATCAATTTGTTGTCTTTAGGAAGATGAATGCTTGGTTAGAAGACTTCTTCAATTAAAAACTTGCTGTGTTTGATTTTTGTGATGACATTGATTAGCTTGTTTAATGAGGAAGTGGCATAATTTAGTGTGTTATATTCCTTTTTATGGGAAAAATAACATATTTATTATTCGCTCTTGTAACTGACATTCTTTTACTAATATAGTAATATGGCTTTTCTTAGAAAATGAATGATTATTCATCATTAGCATGCATACGTATATGGCAGTTGTCTCATCTGGGCTGGTTTATCGAGTTGTCATGTCTTTCACCTCATTTCTGTTTGCAAATCATAGAGTTAGACACATTATGGAAAAAGTTATGAAACAACTATGGTTGTTTTCAACGGTCTAAGCTGTTCAGCTTCAAGAATGTTGACACATTTTGTTATCTTGCTATCCCACACTTGTACTGTGGACCACATGTAAAGGGCCTTTATATTGTTGTAGTATAATGTTCCATTTGGAGAATTTTAAATGTTCTTGTCATTAACTTTCATGAAAAATTGCTCTGACCAAACAAGCTCAAATGTGTAGAATACTAAGTATGGTGTGGTGTTCATCTATTTCCAAGTGTCAATAGTTTTTCACATTTTCTGTTATTCTAATAGATGATATGGCATGTTAAATTGGGGGTTCTATACAATCTTAAGTTGTGGTAATTTCTTTTCTTGGGTAAACATATGCTGAAGATATATGCTACTGACTTGTGATTCTTGAGTGTGGAGTGTGGAGCTTATAATTATCTTTGTTTATAATAAGTTCTTGAGAATCCTTTTGCCAGTTTATTTGTAGATAGCAGTTCCAGTTTATTTCCTCACCATAATTTTTTTTCTAGGTGGACCATTATTGTTGATGGAGCTGGCGTTTCTGCTAAGAAGTGTTGGTGCTGAAGTCTATTGGACTACCATGAGGAAGCCATCTGAAACAAATGAAGTGATATACAGTTTGGAGCATAAGATGTTGGACTGTGGAGTACAGGTTATAATTTCTTCAAAGTTGACATGACTGTATATTCTTCTATCAGGCATTAGATATCTGAGCATTATTACCTTGTATCTTTCACTTACATTCCATTACAGCTAAAATTGCAGATGTCTAAATTTATAGCCTTTATTGTAGATAATTTTCCTAAAACTCTTTTTGGAAAATTTGTTTAATTTAGCTAATTATTTACTCAATGGCATTAAACACCAGCTTATGTTACTGATATAAGGAATTTGTATCTTTGCATCTCTTAACAAGATAAACTTTATATTTCTCTCATGTTTATACTTCTTTAGTTCTTTGCATATTCTTGTGCATAAGATTTGGGATACTCAAACCAATCATTTATGAGGGAACTTAGGCTTTTTGATCCTCTAAGTTTTTGGCCAAATTCTGGTATTTAAGCTGAAAAATGAGGACTACTTAATATTTAACTTTTGTTTTAGAAATGATCAGATAAGCTCGCTGTCTCCTGTTTATGAATATTTAAATGATTGCCCATGTAAATTTCCACTGTGCTTAAAATTGTGCCTCTATCCATTTTGCTAGGTCTTGTCTGCATTTGGCCAAGATGCTATAGGTACAGCTCTCAAAGCTGATTTGGTTGTTTTGAACACTGCATTTGCTGGGAAATGGCTGGATGCTGTTCTCAAGCAAGATGTTTCTCACGTTCTCCCAAAGGTTTTATGGTGGATCCATGAAATGCGGGGGCACTATTTCAAGTTAGACTATGTCAAGCACCTTCCTTTAGTTGCTGGTGCCATGATTGATTCACACATTACAGCTGAATATTGGAAAAATAGGACTCAAGAACATTTGAGGTTAACTTCTAAAACCATCATATCTACTATCTCAGTGTGCTTATTGTTGCAGTTCATAGTGCTTTATAGTATGGATCCTCAGCTTTACGTATTCAAATGCAAATTTTGGAATTCAAGTGAGTTTTGCAGAGCAAGGACTAAGGCTTAGTTGAGCTGAGTTTAATTACATTCTCTAATTTTTTGTGCTAGAATTTTTTCATTTAAATATTATGGTAATATTTCCATCTATTGGCTTCTGCAGGATCAATATGCCTGAGACCCACATTGTTCACCTTGGAAATAGCAAGGAGCTTATGGAAGTTGCTGAAGATAGTGTGGCAAAAAGGGTTTTGCGTGAGCATGCTCGTGAGTCCCTTGGAGTGCGCAGTGAAGATCTACTCTTTGCCTTGATAAATAGTATGATGAAAAGATCTTTTTATTGTTTTCTTTTTCTGCTTATGTACCCTGCTTGAATATGCATCCATTTACTTCCCCACTCAAAATTAAACATCCTTGCTGATACAGCTTTTTCAGTTATTATGTACAACTTGGTTCTTACATTCACTTTTTGTTATAATTCTCCTCTTTTGGGAATTTTATTATTCCATTAAACGTCCTCCTCATTCTGTGCTACCATTCTTTACAGCAGTTTTCTAACCTTCTAGGTCAACCTAGTTTGGTAACTAAAATGAGTGTATTAAAGCAGGTGTTTCACGTGGAAAAGGACAAGATCTGTTTCTACGTTCATTTTATGAAAGCTTACAAATCATCAAGGAAAAGAAGCTGCAGGTGCCACCATTACATGCAGTAATTGTAGGAAGTGGCATAAATGCTCATACCAAGCTTGAAACAGAACTACGTGATTATGTAATTCAGAAGAAAATTCAAGACCGTGTTCATTTTGTAAATAAAACCTTGAATGTAGCCCCTTACTTGGCTGCAATCGATGTTCTTGTTCAGAATTCCCAGGTAATCTTTTTCAACTGGTAGCTTTGTCTGTTCTGATTTAGTTTATATCTGATTGAGGTGTTGATACTTGATTTCAGTTGCTTTTGCAATTCAGCCCCCTTTTCCCAATCATTGTATGGTTGATTCATTTACAATTTCATGTACTCTACCACGGTTTACTTGGAATGATGGAAGTACTTATGAAAAATTGTTTCCCACCTGTTTCTTATAGGCACGAGGAGAATGCTTTGGGAGGATAACCATTGAAGCCATGGCATTTCAGCTGCCTGTACTGGTAATCTATGAACTTTTGCTGTGTTCTGTTTGTGAGACATGTTCTGAAATATTATGATAGATATAATATTGTGCAAGCATGGTCGTAGCATCCTCTATCCACTAGTGCAGATACTGTAATAACTCACCCTTTTTGTTCTAAAAATCATCAATATCAGGGAACAGCAGCGGGCGGCACTACAGAGATCGTAGTGAACGGAACAACTGGTTTCTTGCATCCTGTTGGGAAAGAAGGGGTTAGTCCTCTTGCGAAAAACATTGTCAAACTTGCTACTCATGTGGAGAGGAGACTTACAATGGGGAAGAGAGGTTATGAGAGGGTCAAAGAAAGATTTCTAGAACACCACATGGCACAAAGAATTGCTGCAGTGCTTAAAGAAGTTTTGAAGAAATCTAGAAGAGGCTTATATTGACACTCTCCGTTCAGCTATGAAATCAAAGGCTGTTTCCTGTTAAAAAAAAAAAAAAAAGGGAAAAGAAAAGAGAGAGAGAGATGGAAAACATATAGGCTAGAATGGAATGTCTGCTTTGGCATCTCCTTTGCATATTTCCGTCCTTTTTTAGACTAGGGATGTAAATCATGTATATGTTATAACTAGCCGTTTATATAGTGGAAAATGTCTCTAAAGTTTGAGGAAAATTGTCTCTATACAAATTTTTTCTTAATGACTAGATTGGGGAGTAAGAGAGTTTTACTCCTTTTTAAATTGGTTCAATTAATCAAATTTAATTCTTTGAAAAGGCAATAAAGTAGAAAGCTTAAAAAGAAAGAGAGAAAAAAGGGTGGACTTCAATGAATTAGTGCCCATAGACACGAGTTTTGACACAACACTGACTGTCTGGGTTGGGAAGGTTGGAGGGGGAAAGAGGGAGAATGTGGGGGTGATGTTTGTTTCATTTGTTTGGATTATCTATTTTAACAGAGAAAGAGAGTGGGAGATGAAACCTTTTTTATTCTTTTGTTTTCTATTCTTTTAAATTAAAAAGAATTGTGAGAGATTAGATTTATATATTTAAGGTTTTTTTTAAAAATAAATAAATAAAATATTTTATTCCAATTATTTGTTTAACTAATAAATTTTAACATTTTTTATTTTGTTCTATTTTATTTTTTAAAACTATTTAATTAAATAAAATATTATTATTCCCTCTCATCTATTTTGATATATCTAAACAAAATTAATATCAATCATTTCTTTCCTTTTCCCTCCCCTCCCCTTACTAATTTTTATCTAAAGAAATGCTTAAAGAATGTTTTTGATTTTCATTTTGTCATGTTACAAATACCTAATTGCAAAAAAAGAAACAATGAGGGGTAAAAACTAAAAAGGTGTAATTCATTTAAGTTATTTATTGACAGAAAACGCACCGTTTTGTTCTTCCTTCTTTACCGGGTATATTTTCTTCCTTTTTCAGAGGCAGAAGGAAGGGCCACCGATGGTTTGATTTTGAGGAATTCGAACTGTGTGATGGTAGCTTTCTTCGGCAAATTGTCTAAAAGCTTGGTAAGTTTTATACCAAAACAGTTGTCACAAGAAATCCTATCACAGAAGCCACAAACTGCAGTACCCTTCTCCCAGCTTCAAGAGCAACGCAAGATTTTAGAATCAAAACTCGTTTCCATCCTCGATGGTTGCAACAGTGTCACCCAAATCCAGCAAGTCCACGCTCACATCCTCCGAAATGGCCTTGACCAATGCTGCTATGTCCTCGCCAAGCTCGTACGCATGCTCACCAAATTCGAAGTCCCTGTGGGTGGTTATCCTAGGCTTGTTTTTGAGCAGGTCAGGTATCGGAATCCATTTCTTTGGACTGCTCTTGTTCGTGGGTATTCTGTGCAAGGTTTTGTCAAAGAGTCGGTTTTTCTTTACGGTTGTATGAGAAGAGAAGGTATTGGACCTGTTTCGTTTACATTTACGGCGCTTTTTAAGGCTTGTGGTGAGATTCTTGATGTGAATTTGGGTAGGCAGATTCATGCCCAGACGATTTTGGTTGGTGGGTTTGCTTCTGATTTGTTTGTTGGCAATACCATGATTGATATGTACGTCAAATGCGGGTGCTTGGATTCCGGCCGTAAGTTATTTGATGAAATGCCAGAGAGAGATGTCATTTCGTGGACTGAGCTGATTGTTGCTTATGCGAAGAATGGGAATATGGAATCTGCAGGTCAGTTGTTTGATGAATTGCCTGTGAAGGACATGGTGGCGTGGACAGCAATGGTCACAGGTTATGCTCAGAATGCTCAGCCTAGAGAGGCGTTGGAGTTTTTTGAGAGAATGCAGAACGCAGGTGTTAAGGTGGATGATGTTACATTGGTTGGTGTCATTTCTGCATGTGCACAATTAGGTGCTGCAAAGTATGCTAATTGGGTTAGGGAGGTAGCTGAGAGTTCTGGGTTTGTACCTGCTAAGAATGTTGTCATAGGATCGGCCTTGATTGATATGTACTCGAAGTGTGGGAGCCTAGAGGATGCTTGTAAGGTTTTTGAGGCAATGGAGGAAAGGAATGTTTTTTCTTACAGTTCAATGATTGCTGGGTTTGCCGTGCATGGTCGTCCTCATGATGCTTTGCAGTTGTTCAATGAGATGCTGGACACGGAGACCAAACCAAACAGGGTTACCTTTATAGGAGTCCTTACAGCATGCAGTCATGCAGGAATGGCAGAAGAAGGCCGTCAGATATTTGCATCAATGGAGGAAAGATTTGGGGTTCCTCCATCAGCAGATCATTATGTTTGTATGGTGGATCTTCTTGGTCGAGTTGGGCAACTGGAAGAAGCACTTCATCTTGCAGAGACGATGCCCTTGGAGCCTAATGCTGGTGTTTGGGGAGCATTGCTAGGAGCATGCCGCATTCATGGCAATCCTGACATTGCTGAGATTGCTGCTAGCCATCTATTTAAGATGGAGCCTAATGCTATTGGCAACTACGTCTTGCTTTCTAACATATATGCATCAGCAAGACAGTGGGATGATGCTTCGAGGATAAGGAAGCTGATGAGAGCTAAGGGTCTGAGAAAGAATCCTGCTTGTAGCTGGTTAGAAGCAAAGAAGGGGGTAGTTTATGAATTCTTTGCTGGGGATCTAACTCATCCAGAGTCTAGTAAGATCATGCAGGTGCTTGAGGATCTTCTGGATAGATTGAAGATTAATGGCTACCGGCCACACCTGAGTGCTATGGCTTATGACGTGAGCGATGAAGACAAGAAACGTCTACTACTAACTCATAGCGAGAAGCTAGCTCTGGGATTTGGACTGCTTGGTACAAGTTCTGATTCCAGCATAAGGATTATGAAGAACCTAAGAATATGTGAAGATTGCCACTTGTTTATCTGTGGAGCATCTCAAATCACGGGAAGAGAGATAATTGTTAGGGATAACATGAGGTTCCACCATTTCCGTGACGGGCAATGTTCCTGTGGTAACTTCTGGTGATTGAATCTGGGAGCTGAATTCTTGGGTTGGGTTTGGCCTTTTGAATCCCCTTTGTAACAGGGAGGGTCTTGTCATGATACAGTAATTTGCCTCATCAATACACTGATACTAGATATCTAGCAATTCTTTTCGTTCATGTAGTTGGGTAAGGAACTTACATGCTGCAAAATTTTGGAATTTGTAGCCCTCATCCTCAACGAGATTATATTATGACAGAGTGAAGGAAATGTCCAGGAACCCAGAAACATAGTGTCAAGATCAAACCCCGGAGTTGCATTGCTTCAGAACATGGGTACTGGCTTTTTTGATCATTTTTGTTGATTTATAGTGAAGTCTTTCTAATAATTTATGTTCATTTATAGTCAAAATATATACTGGGTTCGTTGCTTTCCTCTTCTCTTTTGGAATAAAAGACTGTTATATATACTCTCGAGGAAGAGGAAGATGGCCGGCGCATTGCAGCTATGATCCTTGGAATAAAAATTTCAACACCACGAGGAATATTGGTTTGAATGAAGAGACTGCTGATGAGAGACGATCAACTGAATTTACATGCAATAAACCTGAAATTAACACACAGAGACGGGAGCTCATATTAGCACATACATTACTTTATTATACACTGCCGTTATACTTTTCATTGCTCCACTGTAGTAAACACCCTTGCAAGGTGTCTTGTGTATGTAGTCTACAGAGAAGCATGTTAACTATTTTATAATTAGGAGTTGCAAACGTCTTAATTAATGGCATCCAGGGAGCTTCTCCTTGATCTTGTCCATCACGCCTTTCTTCTCGTGGTGAGTTGCAGCAGCACCTGCAGGTGTTGTAGTTGACGCAGCTTGAGGTTCGTTCTTGTGAGATCCCGGTAGCTTCTCTTTTATCTTGTCCTTCAGGCTCTTCTTCTTCCTCCTCCTCCCACCATGCCCATCATCCTCAGACGACTACACACATCAAAAACAAATATCAGCTGAGGATTAAACTGAAAGATGAATTTTATCTGTGTCAAAGAAAGACTTACAGACGAGGAGCTTGAGCTTCCAGAGCGATGGAGTATACCGGAAACCCCATGATGCTCTTTGTGATGTCCCCCATAGGTGGTGGGATATGCACCGGTGGTGCCAGTGTGCTCAACGGGACTGCCAAAATCATCTGTAGGCCGAACTGGGTAGCCATGTTCGTCGGTTTGGGGAACTGCACTGTATGTGTTCTGATAATGCGCCATTTCTAGGGAGATTGATATCTTTTTGTTTTGTTTATGAGATTGAATTGACACTGTTCTGGAAGTGAGGGTTTATAAATGATCTCGAAATCACCTGGACAATTCGATGTGCATCCTGCCTCGTTCTTACACGTAATAGAGTTCCTGGCATTGCCACGTTGTTGTTGAAAGCTACATGTCACTTCTAGAATAAGAACAGATGTTCAACTTACAAACTTTGAGATAACAAAGTAGCTCACTACTGCAATCGAACCTTTGGGTTTGATGTTGGTTTCCAAACGTTAGTAATTTTTTTCTTTTTAATAAGAACAATGATTAATAAGTTAGTATTGTTAGATGTTAATAACTAGACATTTGATTCTTGAACAGTTTACCAATCTTAATGAGACGTACGACCATTAAACCGTGGAGTTTCGTATATTAGTAATTAGATTTAACGGGTGAAGAGTTTAATTCTCATTAATTATTAAAAAGAATTTTTTCCAATATTTTTTCATGTTCGAGAAAAAAAAGAAAAAAGAAAAAAAGAAAAGTAGGTCACTTCTGGAATAAGGACAGCTGTTCAACTTACAAACTTTGACATAACAAAGTTGGTGAAGCCTCTTTAACTTCAGTTCAAAAAAAAGAAGTTGGCGAAGCCTCTATTTGTACCTTTGCAGTAAACATCTTTTAAAATTAATAATTATGTGCAAGTTAGGTTATAATTAGGGATTTTTGGTCGTTAATTTTTAAATTTTTTATAAGTTTGTGATTCTAAGGAGTATTGATTTAAAGTAAAAAACAATAATATTTAAGATGTAAATAAGGAATTTCACCCCATAATTATTATCACGTCAATTTTTACACCTTGATTTTACATACGATGTGGTCCTGTATTGTTTTCAGACAAATCAGAAATCATACTTGAAGTAAATGGTAATAGCCTAGCCCCAATTATTAAGATGATGTCCATAAGGAGCTTAATATGCCTGGCATGACGAATTATGCTTTGCCAAGGCAAATAGGCAATCAGCCAATTTAGATTACATCTACTTAATTATTATTATTATTATTATTTTTTGAATAAATTTATAAAAAGTCGAATTCAAACCGGTTGCTTTGGGGAAAGAGAATGTACTTATATGTGACATAATGTCACTGAGTCTTCGGCCTAAGTGCATCTACTTAATTATTTTAAAATGTAAATAATGGTGTATTATAATTTCAGCATATGGCATTATGTTGTTTGTATTCCTTGCTTAGTGCCCTTAACCTAACTTTAGTATTCCAGCACAGAGGAAAAAGAAGCCTCAATCAGCCAATTTATTAATTAAGATGACCACCATGGCCTTTTTCCAACCGTGTATATAATCCATGGACTAAAACAGTGCAGTGACCAATTTTGTTGTCCTATTATATTCAAAATTGATTGTTTTGTTTCATTAGTAGGAGCTTTTAGCAATGGTATGTTATCTTTTTGTTTTATGTATGGCATCATAATTAGAAAAGCGTTCATAACAAGGTTTTCAAAATCTACCAAAAAAAAGAGTTTTCAAAATTTTAATTAACTGCAAAGAATTAAATAATTTAATAAAAAGAAGCAAAATCCATGTACACTAAAACACAAGTTGTAAAACCATCACACATCAAATAAAGCGATTAGATTCCCATATTATAAAAATAGTGTCTCACTTTCAAATTGTGTTAAGATATAGATTTCACTCAAACAGTGACCTTCATTCTTCTAAATGGAAAAATTTTTAATGAGACAAATTTTTAATAAAAAAGTTATGATGAGTCAACAATTTAAATAATTCAATATTTATTTTTTTTAGTTAAAAATAAAAAATTTTAAATTTTAGTTGCATGACATGTGAATAAAGTGAAATAAGAGATTGAAAATAATTACTTCTCATTATGTAACTAAAATAAAAAATATATATATATATATAATGAGATAATTTTTCAATCACAATAATTGTATAGTTTAGATTGTACTAATACGTACGATAAGAATTATTTGACGAATTATTAGAGGTCCAATCTCTAACTATTTTTATTATATAGCATACTATTGTCAAAACTATAAATATATATATATATATTAAAAATATAAACTTGAAAAGAACTCATAAATACTAATTGCTAATTAAAAATAAAATAAATGGTAGCTTCTAGTTTATTACTGTTATAAAAATAATTCACAACCCTTCATGTATTACAGATCAAGCACCCACTTGCAAACATCTTGAATAATAATTACTACAATACTACATCTTATGATTCAAAAATATGCAACATTCCTCCAATAAGACCTTAAGCCCTAAACAAACAAATAAAACTACTAGAAGCCTAAGATTCAGAACAGATTTTATCGATTAATGCTACAAAATCATCTCAGCAGAAGCCATAATGGGTTGATTGGCATAGAAGGCAGCAGAACTCCATGGATCCACAAAACTTTCATGATTGACCTGCAGAAGATCATCTCTGAACAGAACTCGGCTGCTGGAGTTCACAAAATCAATGATTTCGTTGAGAGATTGCAGCCTGGTGTTGAGCTCAGCCATCTGAACTTTGAGAACAGAGTTCTCTGCTTCCAGGTTCATGTAAAGTTGTGAGGTGATATTCATGCTGGTGAGGATCTGGTTGTTCTCTCTGGTGAGTTCAGAGACCTGAGCCGTCAGATCGTCCAGATGCTTCTGTTTCCGCATCCTGGACCGGCGTGCAGATTCCCTGTTGGATTGCATTCTTTTGCGCTTCCTCTGATCCATAATCTGCTGCAAATCCTCCTCTGAACTTGAGCTCCTCATCATGCTTGAACCTGATCCCCTAGAAGAAGCCATAATATATATACCAAAAAGTTAAAAAAAAAAAAAACCCAAAAACACCAATAAAACTGGATTACGCGCAGGACCCAGATGATTATTATTTAGAACCAAAAGAAAAAACTTGGAATTGGGATTATTTAGAGAACACTATGGGAGATTAAAGCAGGGGAGGAGAGAGTTAATGAGAAAACGTAGAACCAGTAGAGGAAAACAACAGAGAAAGATTGAACAAGATGGTTCCTGCGGTGGAGGGTGGAATTAATCATAAAACTGGAAAGGAGGATTTCACTGATTGCAGGAGACATGAGGTGACCTCAAACATGAGGAAAGCTGACAAGATGTTGAAATTTTAGAATAAACAGAGGCAGAAACAGAGAGTTTTGGATCTTGAGAAACAGAGGGAAAGACTCAAAATTTAACAGAGAAATGAAGGTGGGAAGGAAGAGAGGTGGATGGGGGGTTTGGTTGTGGAGGGTTTATAAACCAGGAAATGCCCCCTGGAAAGAGATAAACAAAGGGAGAAAACAGAGCACTTTTGCAGCTTGCATTAAAAAATAAAAATCTAATTTCAAAATGGTTGGAAAACAGAGGATTTGTGTCCAGAAAAAGGATCAGATGTCATGTCACTTTTATGGATGGCGATGAAGCAGTACGCGCCGAATTGAGATTGCCAAGATAAGTGGCACTTCGACCGCTAGGGGTGGCGGTAAAATATTCACGGTGCTGCAGGCGGTTGAAGTCAGCATAATAACCTTTCAAAATGCCGTTTTTACGGTTGCAATTTGGGAATACAAGCTCCTGAAGATACTTGCAATGAACCGGTTGCAGGCCCAGAATTGTTCACGCAAAAAATGTTGTATAATCTATATTGTATTAAATTATATAATATAAACCTTTAAATAAAACGGGTTTGTTAATAATAGTTATCTCTCATCCAATAAATTTAAGCTGAGAATTTTTTGACAATTAAGTGTTCTAAACTAGATTGTATTTTAAATGAGGAATAGATCTTCTAGTATCATACTCCAAACCGTTAAAACAGATACTTTTTTTTTTGATCATTTTTGACAAGGACGGGTTGGAAATCCACACAAGGGAGAGGGGAAGTGCACCAACAAACTGGTTAATGCCAGTGGGTTTATAGGTCCAGGTGCGCTAAAACAGATACTTTTTTTCAAGGAAAATTCAAAAAAAAAATATATATATATTGAATGAATCCACTACATTTAGCAGAACCTAAAGTCACATGCAAAGGGTGTCAGATCTCTGGGTATGGCATGGCCCCAATGATTCTTAATTAAAATATCCACCAAAGGTCTTTAGAACAGCACCGCTGTATCGGTTTGGCAATCTCTTGAAACTTGTACTTGATAGCAACAAAGAAAGAAAAGTGTAGATAACGAAAAATACAATTGCAAGCTCAACTATCCAAATATTTTATTATGAAGATTCATTATTTCACCTTACTTTTGTTATAATTATTGTTTTTTAATTTTAAGCTTGTAAGATGAATCCTACCCTTAAAATTTTTTTAATATATCATAAATATATACTTACATCTTTGACCGATGTAGTCATGTGCGTACCTATAAATCGTCTCATGGGTATATTATTTTTCTTATAAATGCTTTTCTTCCCTTTGGATATCCCAAACCTAATTATTGTTTATGTGGGTGACAACAAGCATAATGGGGAAAATTTGGAGGAATATAGTCCAATCCAGCAATGAAATTTGGACTCTGACTCCTACAAAGCATCCAACTTAAAGGTCTAGTTAACATTCTGTACAATTACAGTGGTGCACATGGGTTTTGAACTACTAAACACCCCCACATTCAAGGAAGTTGACTGAGGTTAAAACTACCAATAGTTTTTGTTAGGATTATTAATTTTATTTGTGATTTTATTCGTTTATAATTTTTTAAGTAATTAATTATAATATTTAAAAATATTTATTTATAAATTAATTTAATATATTAAATAATAAATGTTAATTATTAATTTATTTTTAATAATTAAATTAAATAAAAATTTTAATAATTTTAGTGATACTAATAAAATTAATGATGCCATAGCAAAGAAAGTCGTCAACAAACAGCCATTAAAGCATACAATCTTTGACTAATCTCTCACATTGTAAGTTAATGATAAAAATACAGCTCTTGACAAGAAATCTAGTTTTTTATTTTCTCGAGCTCTTGGAAGTTAGGAGCTGAGACAGATTATTTACACTATTTTTTTAGTATATAAGATTCCCTAATTAATTTCATAGGACATGGCAGAAAGCTTCACTTCTGAAATTACTTTTGCTTCCCCGATTGTGGGTAGTTATCCTACATCGATCTTATGTGTGTAAATTATAAGATATATATAGGATTTTAAATAATTTTAAACTAATCGATTTTGTAATTGTGTTGTGTTCTGTTACTACATTCATGTAAGTGTTTTAAAAAAGATAAATCCCTTGAGTGGGGCTCACCCCCGATTGTGGGGTAGTTGTCCCACATCGACCTTTTATGCGTGTGAGTTGTAAGGTATATATGATATTCTAAACAATTCTAAACTGATCGATTTTGAAATTATATTATATTCCATCACTGTATTCATATAAGTGTTTTAAAAAAAAATTACTTTTGCTTTGATGGTGGGTGGGGTAGGAAGAAAAAGGAAACTCCGTGTCCGTGGTGGATAAACTCCAACCCCCAAAGAAGCAAAATAAAAATGGTAAAGGTTCATGTAATTTGTAACTTTGTTTGGTCATATCAACAGTTTTTGAACCAAATGTGGCTGCTTCAGAATTTTTTATTGATAAAATGTGAATAAATAGCACATATAATTTTTTAGCTGTGAGGATATTCAATCCTTAGTTTAAATAAAGATAGGATATGCATACTAAAATTAAAAAATTTATAAAAAATTACTATTTTTATTTATTTTTAAGAATTAAATATTAATAAATAAAATGAAAAACAAATCTCTTACCTATTAATTCACACATGCGGTTGCTTTAGATTTTTTCAGTGGGCAATAGAATTTTACTTTTGAAAAAATTTCAACAAAAAGCAGGCAACTTCCATAGGAGAAACAGTTTGATCTCATCCAAAATGAAGGGGCCCCAACAAGAATTTCAAAAAAGTGGTGACATAAAATTCTATGGTTCCTTCTATGAAACCTGGACTTGCAGTACCAGTTGACGAAAAAGCAAACCCAAATCCAAAAGGTGAAAAGGATAGAAATAGGAAGTGGATAAAGCCTTATCTAGTTTGTTCTCTTCAAGTTTCTGACAGGACCTGGGGTGGACTTGGGCCCCTTTCTTTTCATTGGAACAGCATGCAGGGAAGGGGCATCGTGGGAGTAGAGACTCGGAGAAAGTTAGGCAGAGAACAGGCTTCCTCTAGAAAAAGTTCATACATTCAGATATATAATGTGATGAAGTTACATGTTCTCATTGTTCATTTAAGCTATGCAAAGTTTAGAAATAATTCGATTCAAAATGAAAATCAACTGAATGATCATATCGTATTATGACATGAGAGAAATTCCCTCTCCAATTTCTCCACATCTTTATGAAAGACGCTGTTGATGCATTGCAAATAGAACATCATGATAAAATCATGCCTATTTACAAGTTAGGTGATACAATGTCTTCTACAAGGAACTCAAACCAATAAACAAGACATTTGAAGCAAAATCGCGGTGGCATGACTAGGATTAAGGAACAACCTCAATGGCCAGGTTCTAGGTGAAATGATGGAACTGCTATAGAAGGGGCACTGTGAAACCACTTAAGCATTGGCTATGCTCTGGCAAATGCAGCCTCTGGATGGTAGTGAAGCATCTCATGCCACATCCTCTCCCTAATCATATGTTCTCCCATGTTCTCATCTATATCAAGATCAAGAGGCACCTGGGCTGGTGGATTGCTTCTTGGATCAAAAAGTCCTGACATGTAAGGGTGTAGGAGAGCTTCTGTAACAGTAATTCTCTTAGTTGGATCAAAAACAAGCATCCTTTGCAGCAAGTCAATTGCTAATGGATCGGCATGGGGGTATAGATGGGAAAAGTGAGTGCCCCTAGAGTGAGGGAGTGATTTGATATACCTTCTGGCTTTTGGATTATCAATGAACTCAATATCAGCCTCTTTCTGGCTTCCAAGGACATTGATTATCAATTTAAGTTGGTTAAGGCACTCGGTTCCAGGGAAGATAGGTTTCCGGCCAAGGATCTCAGCAAAGATGCATCCAACAGACCAGACATCAATGGAGGTCCCATAATTATCACAACAGAGGAGAAGCTCAGGTGCGCGGTACCAGCGGGTGACAACATACTCTGTCATGAATTGTTCATTGCCTCTGCTAGTGCGTGCCAGCCCAAAATCACATATCTTCAAGTCACAGTTTGCATTGACAAGGAGGTTCCCAGGCTTCAAGTCTCGATGAAGGATGTTTGCTGAGTGAAGGTACTTCAGACCTCGCAATAACTGAAATGGTTAACATAAATTAGTCCCAAGTAGAGAAAAACTTCAAAAATAAAAAATAATACACCCAGAGCTTCCTCTACTGAAAAACTCTATCAATGTCATGCATGGCAATGCTGAAGATATTAGCTCTCTTTGTGTAATTTCATCATATTTCATGCAAAACAATCATCAGCATTCCAAAATCTCCTAGGCATGCTTCCTACTTCTATTGTATTTCCATTATCCATACCTACCCCGTAAGCAGTTAAAGCAATCAATCAATACAAAATAAATAAAACAGGCAGGTCCAAAAACAAAGGAGTGGAAGTGAAGGCACTTGCTTGTACATTGAATTGACAAGCACTTTTGTTCTCGTTCCCTAAGGTTGTGAATGAGGATGAATCAAACAACAGTGCTTAGAAGAAAACGTGCTGTGAATTTAGTTTTATTTTAACCATGGTCTTCAATACAGCTTTAAAGACAAAGTACCACCAAAATAAACATATTATAGCTTTCACTAACAAAGTCTTTCTGTTACTTCAATAACCTTTGAATGCAAAGGAACACTTCAGAACAGAACATATATATCATCTATCAGCTCAAGTAATACCCACAAGTTAAACATCTAATATCATAACAACACATAAAAAGGAGTTGACCGTATAGCACCAAACAATACCAGATAAGCACTTCTAACAAACACATTAAACTCAATTCAATACCCAGTTAGTACTGACGCTACAACCTTTAAAATACATAATCAATCAGTTAGGCCCCAGCTAAAGGGTTAAACTTTGGTACCTGATTGAAATCCACGCTACAGGGGCAGTGGCTTAGCCACTG